TCTGGAGTGCACAGACCACGCAGCTGTGCTGAAGGACTGCTCCACACCTGATGTGCTGCAGCCGAAGGCGAAGTATTGCACCAAGGCTTGCCGCAACGTCTCGGTTGGATGTATCTTTCGGGTTCCATGGTGCTCCGTCAGCCGCGCAAGCGCCTCCTGCCATGCCGCCTTATTGTTATCATTATTATAGTCGGCCGAATCAGCCGAACCTCCGCCTCCACCGGCGTGGGGATTGCATGCGGCCGATCGCAGCCGCTGGGCGCGTGGAAAGACATCCTGCCACTGCGCCTGCAGAGTCCCGTGATTCAAACCCAAAGCTTGAGCAACTCGCTCGACATTGGCACTGTCCCGTCGCACAGAGCCCGCGAGGTCGAACATTTGGAAGGCCTCTGGGCACGATGTTGACTTATAGAAACAAACCAAGCACTTTAAACTTTAAACTGTCTCAAGAATAAGCTAGTTGAAAGTACAGGGGTTTGAGAGCTAAGGTTTGACCGTCACCTCGCGTTTTAAGTCTTAACCTTCAAAAATGAAACCTCGAACCGCAAACACAAAACTTTAGTTTTGCAAACCCAGCCTGTGCAAGCTCGAACTCTGGAAACTCAGCCTGCAAAGCCGCTTCCGCGAGCCGAATCCATGACTGCATGCGTTGCAAGCAGATGGTCTTAACATCTGCAGCTACACCAGCAGCGTCTCCCAAGCACCTGGTTTCTGCTCCCACTTGGAAGACCATAGGCTGCGCCAGGGTCTTCATCATGGTGGAGGTAAAACCAAAACGGTCGAAGATCTGCCCTTCGCAGAACAGTGCCTTCATGGATGCGAGGTACATGTGGCACTCCGTGCTAAGGACCGCTGGATCCAAGTCTTCTCGATCCATTAAGCGGGTGAAATGCAACGAAGAGTCAGCAGCGTCCGCAAGCATCGCTGCTTGCAGCATTTTTTCATCTGACACCCAACTCAAAAACCGTTTGGCTCGACTGCTTGATTCATCAGTCCGCGTCCTCCATATCCGCAGAGCTGTGCGTATGGTTGCATGTATATAGATGCAAGTGCGACCAAGGGGTTTGGCATGGGATTCGAAACGGTGACCTGCTGCGCTCATGTTCGTCGCTGCCGTGATAACATTGGAGCTGGAGGCTTTTGCAAAATCGCCAAAAATTCGTCGGACTTCATCGCTGTGGTGGATCATTTTGGCGATAGAGCCTTTCCCAGTGCACAGATGTAAGAGTACATCGCGCAGCGCCGAATCAGCGCTCCACGGCCTTTGAGTTATTCGCCGCGATGAATGAGCTTTGTCACGGACGATGAAACGGAGATTAGGCGTCAATTTCTGAATGCTTGCATTCAATGCCTTCGCCCTCATAAGCTCCGCCGAGACGACTTCGTCCTGAGCAGCGTCCACTGACAAAGATGTCACTGTGGAGCGCAGGTGGCTCAGCAGACGACGCTTCAACACAGCAGGCTGCTTGCTTTGCTCTGGCGGTTGTATAAAGCGCGTGCAAAATCGCTGCATGATGCGGTATGTCGCCACTGTCAAGTTTCGGCTGCCGGTGCCGCCATCACGCTCCTGGCCGACACAGCCAGCGACAGTTTGCAAGTCTTTGCCGACTGCTCGAAAGCGTATCAAGATTCGGCCTTTCCTCTCATCTCGGTAGAGAGAAATGGCTTCTGAAGCTGCCACAGCCTCCTGGTCGATGGCTTTGACAGCTTCTGCTAAGCACCATGTCATCTTGCGGCACTTT